CGTCCACCCCCCATCTTTTGGACCCCCAGAAAAATCCCAAATTTAGGGATGAATTCTTAGAATTTTGGGCAATCCCGAGTGTTTTGGTTCGGTGCCAAAGTGCCACCGGTGTCCCCTTGGAGTCCCCTCCCCGAATTTTGTCACCGCTGCTCTCCACTGTTATCGCAAAACTCCCCCGGAGCTCTGCGCGACCCCAAAATTCCCCCCAAGGTCATTCCCAAAACCTCAATCCAGGGAAAACCCCAATGATTGTGGGCTCAAAATCCGGATTTACACCCCAAAAGGAGCGGGTTTAGGGATTTGGGGGGAATTTCGGGAATATTTGGGGCAGGGGTTTTAGGTTCCCAGGGATTTCGGGATCCAGGGGGATTTGGAAAGTTTTGGCGGGAGGGGAGGGGGGAGAAATTCTGGGGGATTTGTGGGGATTTATAGGGATCTGGGGCAGGGTTTTGGATCCCGGGGATTTTGGGGTCACGGGGATTTGGGATCCTGGAGATTTGGGGGGTCGGGGTCCCCTTACCCTGCGCGTCCCCCCCGGAGGTGAGGACGGCGATGGCTTTGCCGACCCCCAGGGTCTCGGTGTGCCGGGATCCCTCAGGGCTCGGGGGCATTTTCCTGCCTGGAAAAAATCGGGAAATTCGGGCGAATCCCAAGGCGGGAAGGACGGCTCTGTCCCTCCGGGTGGCGCTGCCAGCGCAGAGTGGCACCGCTGGGGGAGGAACACGGGGACAGGGACACCGGGACAGCCCTGCTGCCACCGCTAGGACACTCCCGCCCCGGGGGGGTGCTCTGGGGGACTCCTTACTGGGGCCAGTTTGTCTTCGTTACTGGTCCCATTCTCTATTCCCTGCTGACGCCAGTCTGTCCTTACTGGTCCTAGTCTGTCTTTACTGGTACCGGTTTGTCCTCCTTACTGGTGCCAGTCTGTCTTTATCGGTGCCAATCCTGTGTCCTTACCGGGGCCAATCTGTCTTCACTTGTCTCAGTCGTCTCAGTCCCTGTTCCCAGTGGGAGCTGCTGTGTCCTCCTTACTGGTTCCAGTTTGTCTTTATTGGTCCCAGTCTGCATACCCCGTGGCCACTGGTCTGCTCTCTTTACTAGTGCCAATTTATCCTCCTTACTGGTGCCAGTCTGTTCTTACTGGTTCCAGTCCATATTCCCTGTGGGAGCTGCTCTGCACTTCTTACTCGTGCCAGCCTTCTTTCCTGGTTGGTCCCAGTCTGTCCTTACTGGTGCCAGTTTGTCCTCCTTACTGGAGGGCTGGTGCCACACGGTCCTTACTGGTTCCAGTCTGCATTCCCGGTTCGTCCCAGTTTCTATTCCCTGTGGTTACTGGTCTGCCCTCCTTATTGGTCCCAGTCCATCCTTACCAGTCCCAGTCTGTGTTCCCTGTGGACTTGTTCTGCACTCCCCACTGGTTCCAGACTGCTTTCCTTACTGGTCACAGTTCCCGTTCCCTGCCGCTGCCTCTCCCGGCTCCAGTTCAGAGCCGGCCCCGGTCCGCGGGCGTTACTGGTGCCCATCCGGGGCCGTTACTGGTGCCAGTCCCCACTGCCCACTGGGAGCACTGACCTGCGGAGCGCCGCCGGCTCGGGGCGGGGGGGAGGAAAGACAGGAGGAGGAGGAGGAGGAGCGCGGCCAAGGAGAGGGCGGCCGGGGCCAGGAACCGACTCAGCCCCGGAGACAGCACCGGAGACACCGGGAGCGCCGTCATGGCCCGGGGACAGTTCCGGGGACAGCTCGAACAGTGCCACCATGGCCCGGGGACACGGGCTGGGCCCTGGGAGTGGCGGCGGGGAGCGGTGTAACGGGATCGGGGTAACGGGATCGGTCGTGATGGGATCGGCTGTAACAGGAGCGGCTGTAATGGGATCAGAGTAATGGGATCGGCTGCAGGGACCGGCTATTATGGGATTGACTGTAATGGCATTAGCTATTATGGGATCGGCTGTACTGAGATTTGCTGTAGAGTCCAACTATTGTGGGATTGACTCTAACGGGATCGGTTCTAATGGGATCCTTTATTATGGAATTGGCTGTAACAGTTTCGGATGTAGGGACCAGCTGTAACAGGACTGACCACAGGAAGAAACTGGAATGGATCAGCTGGAATGGGATCGGTTGCAGGGACAAGCTGGAATGGGGTACACACATAGAGAGTGACCCCCTGTACGATGACATCCCCACAGGGTGATGCCTTATGTGGATCTATATTCCACCCACCCCCCTCCCCCCAACGGGGTGACACCCCTATAGGGTGACCTGCACACACAGAGTGACTCCCTATACGGTGACACCCCCCGCCCGGGGTGACCATGGTCCTCAAAGGGTGACCATCACCCCCAGGGTAATCCCCTATAAGGCTACAGACCCCAGAGAATGACATCCCCACAGAGTGATCCCTATAGAGTCACATCCTCTAGACAATGACAAGCCCGCAGGGTGATCCGTATAGGGTCACAGCCCCGTCCAGGGCCACCTCTGCGCTGCCACTTTGGACCTCCAAGCCGCCAGGGGCCGGTCCCTTCTCCAAGCAGCGCGCCGCTCGCTCCCCCGATCTTCACTCCATTTCCGGCGGCGCCTAACCCCTGGCGTTCACTTCCGCTTCCGCCGCCTCCTCCTCGCGGCCGCCGCCGAGCCCGGGAGAACCGCGCGCGCTCGGGACGCTTCCGGTCCGACTTCCGCTTCCGGTTGAGCGACCGGGCCGGCTGAGGGGAGCGAAGCGGCGGCGA